GACCTCGGCCCCGCTCTCCCGCCCAGGCCCGGACCTCGGCCCCCGCCTCCAGTCCCTAGCACTGTCCCGGTCTCCCGGGTCCCGCTCACCACTGCCCTTCTTGGGGCCCCTCATGCCCAGCTCGGCCGCCATCTCGGCCGGCTGCCGGGACAGCGCCTGCAGCTCCTTCTCGTTGTACCGCATTGTTCCGCGGGGAACGCGAACCCGCGCCACGCCCTCCCGGCCGCCGTCCCCGCTCGCGCCGGGGCCGGCGCCAAAAAGGTCCCAGGGCGCAGACACGGAAGCCCCGCTGGGGCTAGTGCGCCTGCGCGCCTTGGGCTGGCCATGCCGCCCGTCGCCGCAGGGTGGCACTGGCGACCCAGGGAGGTGGGTGCACCGGTTGGTTGGGGAGGCGGACCGTCGTTACTAAGTTAACTGAAATACATCGGACCAAGGTGGAACAAAATCAAGGCACCCCCGTGATGGCTGGCGCCCCTTGTTAGAACGGCCAGGCGCAGGCGGAGGGAGCGATAACATCTCCCGGAGGGTATCAGCCGCCCTCTCGCGAAAGTCGGGCCCACGCGGCCGCAGCGGACCCAGAGTTCGTTGGAAGCGTTGTGCGCACGCGCGCTTTGTTTTCCAGGCCGCACTTTCAGACGCGCCACCTCCAGCCCTTTCCCTCGCGCCTCCGAACCTCCCGGCTCGCGCCGTTGGGCGGGCCGCGCATGCGCACACGAGAGGCCCCGCCCCATTTGCCCCGGAAGTGCTTTCTTTGCCCGCGACGCGCGTGCGCCGAACGAAATCGTGGCGGCGGCGGATCAAGGTGGTGATAGCGCGGCCTTGGGCTCTGGTGAGGGCGTCGGTCGACGGGGACTGGGGGTTCCCTGGAGGGGAGCGAACGTGGGAGAGGCGCTTGCTACGGGCCGCGGGCTGAGGGGCGGGCAGCGGGTTCGCGCCCCTTCCTCCTCCCTTGATCGTCGGGCCTCGTGCATCTAGAGGCCCCGCGCTGGGCGGGCCCGCTCGGAACTCTTATTTCCAAACACCTGTTGGGGGTCCGTGCTCCGGACCTCACGCCTGTAATCCCAGCGCTCAGGGAGGCCTCGGCCGGAGGATCGCTCGAGGCCAGGAGTTCGAGACCAGCCTGGACAACACAGGGAGACCT